TGTTAATGCGGTACATTATACTACATCAACAGATCTATCTACCCTACTGAATTCAATTAAAAAAAACGTGCATAAACGATTTAATGCTAATAGATATCAGAATTGAAATTCCTTGTGGATTTTCTTGGTATATGATAAAGATATGGAATGATTTTTGAGAAACACTGATTGATTTTACCATAAATGATAAGAATTCTTTCTTGATATGTAAATTTAATATTCAGATTAGTTTTTAATTTATGATTGAGCATAATGCTGTATGAGGGACATACATCGATAACAAAAAAGAGTAATGTTCCATCTGTGGCTCATTTATAACAAAGTTTATATATAATGAATATTTTTAACAATAGGTGGTGCTCTCATGCCAGATACATTAATTTAACTAAAAGTGAATCATACACCGCGGCTTCATTTTAAATTTTAAGAAAATAAGGACTGCTTTAAGGTTACTAAATTATCTTGACGTGTAACAGAGGGGAAGATATAATATATTTCCAATAACCATTTATGAAAATCCTGAAAGGTAAAATGTGAATTTCGTGGTAAAAAAGGTCCCCACTCTCATAATCGGATCTATATCATCAGTGGACTTCGCAATGTTGTAAATAAAAGATGGATTAGGGTTCCGTTTCTCTCGTCTGACAAATATTGATGTAAATTCCATACCTTTAACATAAGATAAAGGATGAAACGGAGTAATAACAAAGTTCCCAGTAAATTTGACAATTACGACATTACTAAAGTGCAGAATCAATACAGAAAAAAGGCCAACGTAGATCAGTATATCAATAGAGAGTTATCAACATCATAAATCCACCATGATCATAAATCTCCAACAATATACATGTATGATATGTGTTCTCAGTTGTGACGTACGAGTCTGCGTTATTGGCCAATAGTAAACGTTGAACAATTCAACACTTAAAAGATGCACCCTTAAATATCTAAGTATGTTTGTATACAAGTTCATAATGACGTCATTTTGACTGTGAATCGAATTTGATACAAGGAATACTGGGTACACAAACATATGATTTGACATTACATTGTGAACATGCACTTATATAGAAGATTTATGTACCAGTTATTTGATATCGACCACATCTAGCTATCAGGACAAGCAGAATCCTTTTCTTTAATGCAATTAATAATTATTTTTTACGATTTATGGGAAAATACGCGAAGAAAACCGAATCATCGTGACATTCATTGAAGAGACTTTATTCCTTTCATACAGGCATTAAATGTAACACGGATATCAATTTAAAATGGAAATAATGACTAAAGTTTTCCAAAACCAATCTACAAATACTGCAGTTTCATTTTATACTAAGCATGAAATAACGATTGTTGCTTTTCATACATGAAATATGGAGATAACGAACAGTATTTAAGCTTAAAAGTCCATTCGAACCATACCAATCCGGAGCAAAGCAAACACAGACCTCTAAAACATCAGTGGTGGGTTCAGGTGCCATGGAGAGTGAGTATCCCCAGCCGACCGGTCACACCTTCCGTGTGCTCCTAGTCATGATCTGGTAAAGCGGGTAATCCGTAGTTAATTCAGCTGTAAATAATGGCCTAAGAATTAGTGTGAAAAACGTCCGTCAGCATTTAACTTAATGATAGATTGTATCTGCTGACAAAGTTATTGTGTCGACCATAGAACTTGCGAAATGATGACTTCAAACGAGATTGATATTATTGTTTCATCGACTTGTTTGTCAATAGCTTTCCTCGTTTAAGAAATTGTTCGTATGTAGAGCATTGCGAATCGAATCAACTGAGAGACATAAACCCCATATGCAATTATAAGGGCATATTACTACATAAGTAAGGAAGGTTGACGACACAAAAATTTAAATCATCACCTTTATTATAAAGCTTGGTTGCTATGTTATTATTAACGTCCTCTTTCTAGTAAAATATCAAAATATGAAACAGTTGTGTCAGACTCTATGGCATCTTTTACCTCAATCTCACTGGGATATATCGAGTCAACATTTGAATGGAAGTAGCTATTGTCAATTGATACTACGTCGTCGATAAATCTAAATGTCGAGTTGAAGGCCACAGCAAGTGGGTTTTTTTTTCTTCTCATGTATAAGTTTATGAATTACATCTGCTTCATATGAACACAAAAATAAGTCTGCTAATAATGAGGCGCAATTGGTACCCATTTAACGAATGTTAAATTACAAGTTTTGATCTGGTGATATATTTTGTTTTTCTTTTTGGAGTTTTCAGAAATTTATTTACTTTACTATCGTGCTGTAAATTTTGAATTTTTTGGATGGAGAAAATGCAGAATTCACATGATAATACTGTTCCTTAGTGTGGAAAATGTTTTAGATCGCTTTACAAACTAAAAATCATTCATAATGAAGCTTACAGCATTCTAGCGAAATTGAACTTTCTTGTGGGAAATATGTCGGCGTTAATAAAACTTTCTTTTTTAACTTCCTTGTCTTTTAGAAAATTTCTTCAATTCTATTTTGTATGAGGAAAATTTCTTAAACATTATTTTTAAGGAAAAACAATAAAAGTTAAATAATTGTGGCAAGATTTTTGACACAATACTTAGGGAAAATAAAGCAAAATCCTGCTGTATTGATTTCCTCAATGGTTTGCCTCAAATTCATCTGTTTGACAAATAATTTTAGTGTCCGATTGTGACAGGATATTTAAAACAATCACGTACATCTGTGTAATAAAATAATAATTGGAGCCACCGTGTTAATTAAATACTCTATAATTGTATTGTGATTTAATTAACTTATTTTTTTTTTTTTTTTGTGGTTACTGCATTAAGTAACATTACTTATTATGAGTTTTCTATTTTTAAAACATATTATCGTCCATTTCTTTCATAAATAACATTTCCAGTAATCCTATTTATGAGGTAAGGGTTTGATATTAGTTCAATACATCACGACACTTCACTTGTTATTTTTCAAATAGAAAAATGCATTCAGTTAATATAGAAGCCATAAAGATATGAGAATTGAAAATGACTTTGCTTTGTGGTTGTGCCATATTTGAATGTTATATGGCTATGGATTTGAAAGAAGCAAGAGTCTTTTTCGAGTGACGGTGGTGGGGGTCACAGTGCTTAGTCTGAAACAGAGTATCAGTTTTTAATAAAGTTTGAAACAGAATGTCAGATTTTTATTATGATGTTTTCTCGAAAGGCAAGTAATTTCTACCACCAAACGCCAAGAAGACCAAAATCACTACCGAATACACGGATGATGTTTAGTGTGTGTGTGTGTGTGTGTATGTGTTTATTTTAGAATGTATCATAATATATTAATATGATTTTATTGTTGTTCAAATCCTCTCATCAAATTATCTCTTGATACCTATGGGTAATATTTTTAGTATGACATTGTCATAAACGCCTTTAACAATGTTGCCTTGAATCACATTTATAAGTAAAATTTAATGACGCTATAAACATGAAGGGAAAACAAAGGAATCACGTAATATGATTTCGGAATTAGAAGGGTAAAGCTTAAGGACTTCTTGATATGCAATTTATTCCTCCTACAACTCATTAACGTTTACACTTTATAAGGTTTAATAATGCTTAGAATGATTGACTCACTGGACTATTTTAGATAGAGATTGAACTTTTGTCACATATAAAATTATACAATGATATGAATCACGTTTTATTCTGTAATAAACGACAACTAATTAACTCTCTGTTAGTGTTGTAATTTACTCTTTTCTTCTTTCATAAACACTTCATTAAATCATATGTGGAAGCCAATCGTGTAATAGTGTCTTTTTACTACAGAAAAAAGAAGTAGGAAACATCACATTTTTATTAAAACAGTGAATAAAGTTTTAAATAAATCTGCAAAAAAAATTATATGCATATTATAAACGTCTTTAATTCCGTAAGTTTACCATTTCACAATTTTCTAAGTTCTTACATTTAACAGTAGTTTTAATTTCACGTTCACTGAATTTCTGATTATTCAGTATTTTTAATTAAAATAAAAGATCTGTGAAAACAAAAAAATAATGGTAAATTAATCATTACAAAAGTGTTCAGTAACTCAGTAACTTACTTAAAGCACCCGTTGTTATTACCTAACGATTCCCATATTTTCAATGAATTACTATTTTACTATAATTACAGAAAATGATAACAGGGTTCTAAAGTGCATTACACGTATTTGATGAATGAATCTAACATTAACATGTCAACATTATTCACAAAGGCTTAATGTTCCCGGAAAATTCTTTAAATGTGAGCATAGTGAAATTAAAGCCGACCCAATGTATTTCACTTTTACAATAATTTATTTATGAATCAGGTACAAATTTTCAGATGTCTTTTATAAAATTATAGCATAACAAGTTATATAAGTAAAATTATAACAGAGCTTGCAGACCAAAATTGGATAATAAAGACAACTTTATTTTTGAAAAAATAATAGAAACTTATGCCATTAAGAGTTATCTCTCTTCCCGGAGTATCAATAAACCTTAAGATTTTTTTTTTTGTCCCAATGAACAGTTATTATTTGTATATGCAGATTCTTTAATCAAGAGTATTTATTAATAGCATTTGGCTTAACACTTACACTGCTCGAACGAATAAGGAGTCAAAAATAAACGTTCGTTATCTCCATTATTTCGTTATTTCATTAACATGCCAAAATCGTGCTGATAAAAGGAAAACACCTTAAATTCCCAAACTTGTATTCAAGGCACAGCATTTGCAGAATCGAAATTTGAAGATTTACCTCATTAATGAAGGATAGTGAACACTTACTCATGCCTTTCATCGGTCCTAAAAGAATCACCTACTCACTCGATAAGTAATGATATCATATATTTGCTAATCACACACCTTTCATACCGGCCATTACCGTGGGATGTGTTAGCTTATATATAGTCACTAGTACCCAGATAGATGATCGAATTCAAAATTCATTAATATAGAAAGATAACTCTAGTTTTCTTCTAGAGTTACATAAGTCATGAATGTCTTACAAATTTCTGCCATTTGCGTTACACTCTGGTGTTTTACGGACTCAGCAGCCCTGCAGAAAACGGACTCGGATTTCTGGGTGGATCCAGAGGATTGCTCCAAATTTTACATCCTCAGAGATGGCAAGGAATTTCTGTTCAAGTGTCCAGAAGATTATGTAATAAACTCTGCCACCCGATTGTGTGTCCCAAAGGGATCAACCCAAGACACATGTAAGAAATAATTCATAATATGGATCTTGCAGTAAGTTTTATTAGGACAGAGTAAGCGCTGTTAGAAGCATCCGTTAGTAAAATTAGATATTCTTTTTTTAGGTTTAAAAACACTCCAAAAAACGCAAGGAGTATGTTCCTTGACATCTCACGAGAAATTAGCAAATGCTGAGAATTGTGCCAAATATTACGATTGTGACACGAAAGTGTCATCTGTAGGAGAGGCAGAAGTCAAGGAATGTCCTTATCCACTTCTGTTTGATGAGAATTCTCAGAGATGCCATCATTACAGCACAGTTCAGTGTGGAACTCGATATGAACCCAAGGACGCATGTAAGTAACATTTTAATAAAACTCTTAATATATGTAGACCTCCGTCCCTTATCAACTAAAGTGACTAAATCAATATGCCATACTGCATATGACTGAATGTTGTAATTCATGTTTTAGATACTAGTATGTGACTTATAATTGCACTGAATTTGAAACCAACTATTATGACATTCAATTTATAAACTTAAGCATACTTCTATTTCAGGTGAATATGAAGAAAATCAGTGCAAATCAGCCCACTGTATTCCATGTTACATGCGTTTTCCCAGCTGTAAAGGGTCACCAGATGGGTTAAATCCATGGAAAGGTAAAGAGGGGTCCCCAGAATTTGTCGTGTGCAAGGACGAAAGGGTGGTTTTCCAAGGAGGATGTCAACGCAATTCCGATGTAAAACAAAGAATATTTAGTCCGAAGTACAAAATATGTGTTGACTTGTAAGATGATTAACATTTGTGTTACGATTTTATGATTTTCTATTTATTTATTTATTTATTTATTTATTTATTTATTTATTTATTTATTTATTTATTTATTTATTTATTTATTTATTTATTTAATTGTTTTGTTTTTCTCTATTGTTTGGATATCAATATATATTTTTGTCTGTTTATATCATGATTTTTTACAATAAAAAAATTACCTCGTGTTTTAAGATTTTATTTTGCTTATTTTTTTACTCAGGTACATATAATGCATCAATCAAATGCCTATGTCCTTGGGACAATAGGTCAGAAAAAACAACAAAAAAAGATCTATCTTCATGTACCATCGATTTCTTTTCAAATTACTAGTGAGGATTTCTCATATACTTTTTATGTATCCGACACTGACATATTTAAAGTCATTATAGAGTATACATATTGTTAAAATATATTTATAGATGTACAAAACTATCAGATTCATTCATTAAATGACCGACTTTATCGCGTCTTAATGTAGCCACTGGGGACCTTAAGATCAAAACCTTGCATGCGCATTTAGTCGAGACGCCCATTAAGTAAACCGACCTCATGGAGGTTAAAAATTGTTTACATTGCATGCAGATTGCAAATCATCAATTACACTTTTTGATATGACGTTTTCCAATGTTCAAGGTAAAACCATGTTTCCTGAATTTTCATTATACTAACTAATCATCATTGCTAGTCATATTTTGTAATTGGGAAATGAATATCTACCTTAGTAATAATATTAATTTTTGTGGTTGGCAAAATTCTAGATAAGAGTAGATGTTGACTCAAAATATTTGTCATTGATTTAATTTCATAAACATAATATGTAAAACTTAAAACCTTAAAATTACTATGCATTGTATTTGTTTGATGAGAGATGATTTCAATTAGTGCTTACAGATTTGTTCAGATATGCAGAATGCTAGTACTTTAAAACGACATCATAAGCTTTTTCTGCTAAAGCATTAAAACCAATTTCTTATTTCCAAGAAAATACATTTTTTTTGGCATTTGACCAAACTTTGAAGTTGACGAAAGGCAAAAAATGATTTTAAAAAATGCAAATCAAATGTAATTACGATCTTTTTTCATAAAATTCCTAAGTACAGTGTTTTTTCAACCCACAAAGACTTTCCTAACTAACTTAAGAACCTTATTCACATTCCTTTAAACACTAGCTTACCGAATTCAAATTATTAAATTAACTAAGAGTTAAGAACATTAATCTCTTCCATAGCATCACGTGACTGAGGGCAGAACTGTTCCAGAAATATCCTGGTGTTGAAGTTTGTATGGTTTAGTAAATGATACATCTAAAATTCCAAACTTTATCCTTTAATTCGAACGAGTGGTTTAGATATTGTTGATTATGAGTCTGTATCATGAAGTTTAAAAAAAAAAAAAGATTCGAGATTTTTTCAGGTTTTCGGAATGATTTTGGGAAAAAATTGACAGATAAAAGTTTTTAAAAAAATATATAATTTTTTTTAAAGAATTCGAATTTTATTTTCTCTTGCCTTAGATACCCGTGGTTATAAAATGATATGAGCTTTGAAGTGATATTATATCTTGGAATGATATAACTCGCTGTATTATGTAAGCAGTCTTTCGATTGATTGATTGATTGTTTATTGTTTTACGTCCCATTCGAGAATTTTTCACTCATAGACAGAGGTCACCATCTACCGTTGAAGGGCTTCAAATTCTGACCTTTACTCGGCACTCAGGGCCATTGAGCAGTGAGGGATCTTTATCGTGCCAACGCCTGCCCTGACACGGGACCTCGGTTTTTAAGTTCTCATCCGAAGGACCCGCAACTTTCACTTCAAAATGCCGAGCGCATGGCGGAGGAACAGTTGCTACCCATTTTTTATTGACTTAGGTCAGTCGCGGCCGAGATTCGAACTCACGACCTCTAGATCACGGAGCGAGCGCTCTACCGACTGAGCTACCGTGAACTGTAGAAGTCTTTCGAAGTCAAGAGAACTAAAATATCGCATAAGTATTAAAAAAACAAGTTTTTTTCTAGATACCTAAATACCCATATTTTTTATCGTTGAATGCACTTGTTCATTAATTTTTAATTGAAGATTGTAGATTTGTATTTGATAATTTTCCACATATAGTACATGTATGATTATAATGATGAACTTTGAAAAAATAACACAGGTAAATACATATTACTTAATGCATTTTGTAACATTTTTGTGAGCATTTTTTTTATTAATTTAGTGCTGATTTTCAGAAAATAAGGATCGGACTACAATAAAAGATTCAATTAATTTTTTAACAGTATTAACCCAAGTAATCTATAAAAAATAGTATTTTGTGGAATTGTATAATATCAAAATTATAATCATAATTTTAAAAAGTTAAATGTCTAGCTATTTTCTTGACAGGTTTTATTAGATAGTTATAATATGCATTAATTAACAGTAACTTTGAGGCTCTTACTAGCGACAAGAAGATTTGTTCCCAATTTTCCATTGAAAGGTGCAAACAAGATGTCATCATTAGACAGCAATACCCGCACGTTTGTACTTGTCTCTAAATGTACTCTCTCTTGTACCTGGGTAATAAAGAAGGCATAATAGTTATTCTATATTCACATAAAATATATACATCTATCAAATTGAACAAAAACATGCATATGTGAGGATGTGATCCATAGGCCTCTTGTATTTCAAATAAAACATTTATTTCCGGTTTGAGCTATTCATACGAAATGAATGTGGCTGATCTATTTCCGATTCGACGTTAAGCAATAATCAAGCAACCAACCACCCGGTCTGAATTTGATAAAAATGAAGTAAATCCTGTTCAAGAAAACATTTTTGAAAAGTTATTCTGTATTATAGAAAAATAATACTATAATTTGACGTTGACTAATTTGTTATCGAAACAGCAAGTAATAATTTTTAATTTATGGCAATTTCTATAGAATTGATTTATTTTTTCATTCAAAAAAATGTTGTTGTTTTTTTTTATTCCAAAATTACTTTTTTCCGAGAATGAAATATGTGAACGTATCAGTAAATTTGGGGGGTGGGGGGGGTTGGGGGGGGGGGCTTTCCAAATCAAGTAGGTGACCCGTTTGACTCACCTCGGCCATCCAGAACATTGTATCTTTAGACTGAGATCCCCACACCTAAACCATATATATTCTAGCTGCAATGTCAAGATACATGGAACATTCTTCTAAGTAAGTGGCCTGAGGCCATCCCTATCCCCTCATTTAATTATTGACTTAATATCTTTATGACGGTTGAGATCCCCACATTATTGCCTCTAAATTATGAAATATGTATTGTAACATTACAAAATGGGAGCAGAGCAAAACATCAGAGAGTGGATAAGGTGCCATGGAGGAGGAAACATTACCTGTTGACCGGTCAACCCCGCCATATTGCTCTTTGCCATGATCGGGTAAACGGGAAATGCGTTGACGATTTCAGTGTGCAATAATGGTCTAAAAATTGTATGAAAAACGTCAACATTCGACTTAACGACAGATTGTATTTGCCTACAATGTATCGACCATGGAATTTGCGAAATGCTAACTTTAAATGAGACTGCTGATATCCTTGTATAATCAACTAATTTGTCAGTAGCTTGCCTCGTTTTAAAAACTGTTCTTATGTACATGTAGAACATGTTTTTGCGTATCGAGTCAATTTGGAGACAAAAACTCCATATGCCGGTGTTGAAGTCATCACGTTTATCATAAAGTTTAGTTGTTAGTTTGCCATTCATGTCTTTAGTAAAATATCCATATATGAAACAGATATGTCAGACTCTGTGAGGTGTTATATTTCGAGATTAAATGGATATATATTGAATCAAAGGGAATGAAAATGAATATTGTTATTTGATAAATCTCATCGTATGTATCTAAATGTCGAATTCAAGTCCACAGCAAGAGATTTCTTCTTTTTTGAGTAAATTCTGCTTCATATGAATTCAAAATAACAGGACAAAATTAGTAACCACTGAATTTTCAACAGAGTATTGGAATACCTGGGGCCTGTTTTACAAAAGAACTTACGACTAAGACAAAAAACTTCAGTTGGTTGTAAAATTTTGCAAAATTAATGATTCTGTTTGAAGTCGCTCACATTGAAAATATCTTGTTATATTCTTTATAAAAAGATTAAAACCATTTTCAAATCAATGTAAAATAGAGAGTAATGAACAGAATTAAATTTTGGTCTTAGTCGTAAGTTCTTTTGTAAAATGGACCCCTGATCTTCAAAAATTACATACTAGATAGAAAACATAGATAGAACAATACCTTCATTGTAAACCCCATTTATATAAAAACAGCTGATATAAAATAACAAAAAGTATGAATTAAGGTCTTCGTCCTAATGACCATATTCCTAAATATACAATTGTTGATTCACTAGATTAATATCAATAGAAGAAAATTTGATATCGTAAAATAGAGACGAATTTGTGTTCCCTTTATTTTCTTTTGATATATCTTGCACCCATTGCAAAAGATAGAGAAAAGGATCTTTAAACAAAATCACTATAAACCTGACAATGACGAAATTATCAAAGTGCAGAATCAATACAGAGACAGTTCATAGTAGATCAGTATATCAGTAGAGCTTACAGTAAATCTATAGCAATAAATTTCAAGCAAACAGATTAGTGTTCTTAGCACTGACGTATGAGTCTTCGTCATTGTCAAAAGTAAACGTTTATCGAATCAACACTTAAAAGATGCACCCTTAAATATTCTAGAATATACATATAAACTAAATTTATTTGTAAAAAAGTTGATAATACGCCATACGAAGAGCTATTACCTTGAACTTGATACAAGGAATACTGGGTACACGAACATTTTACTTAACTTTACACGTAAACATGCACATATACAGAAGGTATCTTTTACCAGTCATTTTATATGATCATTTTAGGTGGTCAAAGTTTTACTATCAAGGCATGGCAGAAGTCTAGACACAACTATACCAGCAC